CTGTCCTGCAGTCTAAAATCGACGAGTGGCTCTTCAATCTGTAGACATCGTTATTAAATACACTCTACAAAAACCGCCGGCCTTTATATAGGGAGGAACCGCGAAACAGTGTACGTGTGTGTGTGTGTGTGTGTGTGTGTGTGGGGGGTGTATATATATTAGTGACAGAACAGATGTAGGATAAGAAACAGATGTAGGATAAGAAAGTAGATGAAGTGCGCACCGTCGATGAGGCAAACATTATACCAGTGTTCTGGCCTGGACTTTGAGCTTCATCTGTGGGGTTCGAATCCCCGCCACAGCATAAATGTCCTTTGGCGAGACAACGGAAGTAAAAAGGATCCCCGGTAGAAGCGATTCCTTTAAAGGTATAGACCAGTTTTGGAAACGCCCCCCTCTCAAAAAATGAAATGGAAGCTCTTTTTACCAATCATGTGAAAGAATATGTTTTGACTAATACGTGATGATACAAATTTTGCAGGGCAACCCCCTACTAATTGATATATTTGGTAAATTATTATATCTATCCGGACTGAATAGATATCCCATATAATCTTTATGTGTACAGTGCTTGTAACTTTAATAGCAAGACTCGGTCAAATTTCTTATCATTTTGATGATTCAAGAACCTTGCAGTACACACCGATACTTATATGCTAGATGATCAACCTTTTCTGATTGATTCCACAATGTTTCTTTCACAATGCAATCGCATGACCAAAACTGGTCTATACCTTTAATGCTTTAGCCAGAGTATTAGTAATGTTCATGAAAAAGTGCTTTAGAAATCTCACAATTACTGTCATAACTCATATGGGTAATGTTATAATCACTATCGGTATCAGTATCATTATTAATATTGGTATGATAATTATTATTGTTATTAATATTATTTTCATTATTATTATCAATACTAGTATCATTTTATTATAATTATTATTATTATTATGCATTCCATTATCATTATTATTACAATCATAGTTATTTGTTATTATATTCCACATACTAAGAATCTTGCTCTACGATTGGTCAAAAGTAAATCACGTGATGAAAGATAGTTCGCCCATTATTTATGGGAGAAGCAAAAAGTTCGTTACACTGTGTAGATAGTACTACTATCTACACAGTGCAACGCACTTTCACTGAAGATAGAGGTACTATCTACACAGGGCAACGCACTTTCACTGAAGATTATCCAAAAGCGCACTAAAACAGCCGTAATTAAGCGCGCATTACCAATGAGCGCAATTAAAACAAACACATGCGCGCAACGTACCCTCAAGGGGTTGGGTTAAACTTTTAACTTTTTTGGTGTGAAGTTGGGCCTGGTGTCTTTCATGAAGATGCATACACGTCCTTTTATTTTTGTAGTTAAATTGTTTTAGATGTGGAATATAAAGCAAATAACCATCTTTTGGTTTCAGGCGATGGCAAACTATCACTTCCTCGTCGATCAGAATGTATACGCTATCTTTCCTCAGCTTCGCTTCAGAAAGATAGCTACATCCAGATCGCCTCGGAAGTGATAGTTTGTCCCATCACCTTCACCAACGGTAGTTATTTGCTTATTATCATTATCTGATATTTCATTATTATTATCATCATGATTAATATCTTAATCAATGTTATCATCTAAATCATCCCGAGTGAGCTAAATCGTAAAAGTAGTCAGCAACAGAGGTTTTTTTTAAAGTAAACCTGACCATCCGTCTTTTGAGGTTTATTTTGGGTTTCACTTCGTCAAAAATATGTAGGGCCTATAAGGGATATCATGACGTTGGGGAATTAAAGGGTAATTATACCTTTGTAAGTTCATTTGAATGAAAACAGAAAGTTAAGAAATTGGCGAAAATTTGGAATAAATCTGACCAATAATATGAAACGTCTGAATGTTTGAAATATGAGATTACTAAGTTTATGCAAATCTCAATTTTAATTAAATAAATTGACCTTCGGGAGTAATTTTCACGAAAAACCTGTGTCGTAGGCCTAAAGGTCTTCGAATCATTAGTCAAAAAATAATTTGTTTTAAGGGAATTTTCATCTTCATTCAACTGTAAGGAAGAGTAAAAGAGTCATGTACCATAACTCACAAAGACTTATTTTACACAAAAGTACACAAATGATCAGCAGCGGCCCAACTGCGGTAACAGATACAGATCTTTGTTTGATAGGCGGTGCAAATTGTGCGTGTTATTTTCAATCTCATATTTCAATACAATTTCTATGAAAATCGAATCGATCGAGTTGCTTCATGCTTTTATAATATGCTGTACTGGTGTTCGTTTTTAAAGGGATCTGATATCACAAACTGACGGAGGCTCTTTTAATGTTTGCTTAAAAAGCATATCTTACATTGTGGGCAGTGCATCCACTCTCGAAACGAAACACCTCAAACGTGCTGAAGAAGACAAACTACAAATTTGCACAATGTGCATAGATATTTACTACGTATAATTTTACGGGGGTATTTCGTTTCTATCATTAGCATGATTTCTTTTAAAGTCCTTTCATGGCCCTGAAGGTCAAATATGCGACAGAAGGTAAGGTAAGGTGTTGTATAACAGAATTTCATTCATGAAGCGAAAAAAAAACATTCATTATACAAATTTGTATCTTATCTTATAAACTGTAGTAACGAACAGTTTTAGATTTTTCAGGGAGATGGCCACAAACACACACACACATCCACACGCACACACACAAATATATTATATTAAAATGTTATTGAATTTGCACATTATTGCTGGTTTAATTAATAAAATATGACAAAATATAAGGTGATAAGAAAAAAATAATATACAGTGAAGCACTACATACTGAACTCAAACGCATGTCGTTATATATAAACATAAATACACACACACACACACACACACACACAACCAACCCACACACGCACGAACACATTTGTATATACATGTATACAACTGTATGTATAGAGAGAGACATTTTGAGAGAGAGGGAGAGAGGAAGAGAGAGAGAGAGAGAGGGAGAGAAAGAGGGAGGAAGAAAGAGAGAGAGAGACAGAGAGAGAGAGAGAGGGAAGAGAGAGAGAAAGAGAGAGAGAGAGGGAGGAGGAAGAGAGAGAGAGAGAGAGAGAGCGCGCGCGGCACGCCATACCATATCTAACAAGTGAGGAATAGACAGGGCTCTTTGATTGCATTATATTTAGATTAGTTTTATTTCTTTATTTTTATACAATTTTACAAACTTATTTGACTAAATATTGTCAAAGCGTATATACAATATCATCAATCTTTTTCCCACTACATAATTCCTGTCAATTAGTATTTGTACTTACAAATGCATATAAGTTATGTATTTTTCTCAACATAGGAATGTGTCAGGAAATGGGATTCGAACCCAGGGGCCTTAAGTGATCGATTCAAGTGCCGGCTTATCACTGAGTTATACACTCGACGTGCCTCCACTGAAGGGAAGAAATATACATTTTAGCCATGTGAATATTGAACTCGACTGGACACCTGCGTGTGTGGTTTCATTGATCCATTAAGTGCACCAACATAATTTGTTGACCATCAGTTCCTTTGATGTGTCTAATGTTGACTTTCCATTACAATTTGAAATCAATAAATTCTTATTCTGAAGACAAATCACCGGAAGGCAACTATATTGAGGAACGGGTGAAAGCTTTCACATAATTGTTAAGATCACAAAATTCACCACTGTTACCGTTCACTCCCTAGCGACGATTGTCATTCATTACGTGGAGTTAATCATTGAAATCCAATAAAGGCATTGTATTTTGCCGACATTGCTACTACTTCTGTTAAGCATATTTAAGTGCGTCATCTTTAGGTGAAGACCTATACATAGGGCGATTTCCGGTTCATGAACCCAAGCATCATCACGCATGCGCCATGCAGTTGGTGATGCATTACGGGACATTGTTGTCGACACATCGGGACATTGTAAGCAGCAGATGACAATACTCATTAATCTAAAGTAGCGTCAGTAGAATACCTACCTTTAAAAGCTAAACGTGCCAGCATATTACATTGTGGTGCAGAAGTGTGGTATGACACATTAACAACATCTTACATAACTTTACATTTAATCCAACCGGAGAATAATATAAGCTAGTGGTAAATCTAGAATACACTAGATAGATTATGATTTGAATTAACGACCTAACATTATGAACCTTTTCCCTTTTTTTATAGAAACTTGAGAAAAAAATAAAAGTAAAACAGGATAACTAACAACTTTCGGCCTGCGCAATCACAAGCCAAAGTACTTGCTTAAAGGTAAAGACCAGTATTGGAAACGCCCCAATTTCAAAAAATGAAATGGAAGCTCTCATTACCAATCATGTGAAAGAATATGTTTTGACTAATACATGATGATAAAAAACTTGCCGGGAAACCGCCTACTAATTCATATATTTGGTAAATTTGTTTCTCTCATGGTCTGTGAGAGATATAGGGTAGTCCCATATACATCTCTTTGTGTATAGTGCTTGTAACTTTACGAAGAATGGGCCAAATTTCTTATCATTTTGATGATTCCAGAACCTTGCAGATGCTAGATGCTAGATGGTCAACCTTTTCTGATCGATTCCACAACGTTTCTTTCACAATGCAATCGCATGACCATAACTGGTCTTTACCTTTAAAGGCTATTGCCTGAGCACAGTCAACAGGGAGCATATCATCACAATAAACTCCCATGTGTTGGTGCATTAGGAAAAAAATTGATGGTAAAGATGTAATAACCGATCATAAGGGAATTTCCTGATCCTACAACTAAGTGTAAGTTCTCGGTCAATAGCGGCAAATACTACTTTTGGCGATGGCGGAGAGCAGTTAAAGCTTTCTATTTGCTGTAGCAGCAAAGAACTTCTTGCGGGCAGCCGACGAACTGATACTGACTATCGTATGTACGCATAATAATAATGTAAACAACTTCTAGTTGTTGTAAAAGAACAATCAATAGCCAAGTATTTTGAATTCTTCTTTCCCGTTCAATCAATTATGCTCTCAACGGAATCTAAATTGCTACATGCTTTTATGCACAAGCGACATAAGAGGTTGTTCCTGCAGCTCGATGGACGCTTGTCATTCAGGATTATTCACCCATAGTAGGTTTCTTCATTTTAGAAATGTCAATATCGGGTGGTGCATTCACGCTGAAACGAGTGAGGGGAAATTTGTCCTTCTTCTTGGAGCACAGTGCCACGAACGAGTAGAGATATGGGTTCAAGGTGGAGTTGATGGGTAAGATAAACACCACAGCCCAGGCGTACAGGGACACTGGTAGATCCACCACTCCTGTCTGCGACAAGATCCCCATGATAATGACAGGCATCCAACAACAGAAATCAGTACCGACGATCAGCGCCATTTTGGTGGTCATGCGTATCTCTTGCTTCATTCGTTCCGACCCAGCAACCTTTGCTGATCTCCTGACTTGGACAAAGATCACTAAGTAGCAGAAGAAGATTAGGATGAGAAGAATGAAATTGACACCAAGAAAGAGAGCGATGGAATACAGCCAGTAGGGCCGTTGTTCGGCTTCTTCATCAACGACAAACTGATACACGTTTGATTCAAAATCATACGTGATGTAACCTTTCCGTTCAGTGTAGGTGTTGAACGGGAGACCAATGCAAACATCGGAAAAGCCGTAAATCTCGAAACCTGTCAATCCGGTTAAGATGGATGGAAAACTAAGACAGAAGGTCAGCGTCCATACAAGAGCAACACAGATCCGTCCCGATCTAGGACGGAATCGCACTGTCCCAAAGGGAAAGGTGATGCAGATGAATCGATCGAGGGTGATGAGAGCGAGTAGGAAGACCGTACTCTCACTTGATAGAAGTGCTACAAACCCAGCCCATCGACAGAGAGAAGATTCTTTCCACCTAGGTGCTGAAAGAAAGTACTGCTCCCCGTAATAGATATCCGCCGAGGCGATAGTCACCATGTACACCCCCATGAGAAAATCTGCGAAAGCCAAGTTGGTGATAAACAGTCTTTGGACGCTATTACCACTGTATCGGTCCTCTCTAAAGCGAATGAAAATGACGAAGGAGTTTCCGATGAGGGCGCCAAACCCGATGACCCACACTGCCACTCTGAGGACATCGTTGTTTGTCAAACGGGAGCAGGAATCCAGAGGCGTTGGGTTGATTACAGAACACGTGATGTTCTTGAACAGGCAGCATAGACGGTAATCATCGGTAGATCTGGAAGAATAATATGAATTTGAGATATTGAATTTGAGATATTGAATCAAGACTTGCTCAGATTTTAACGCGGTAAACTGCCGCAAAAGAACCCGTCGCGTTTGTGGGACTTGCGTGTATAGGACTTGCGCGTATTATCTATGCTCTGTTTAATAAGACAAAGAAACGTATTACTAGGGTGATCACACTGCCTGTGCAAACAGTCTGCCCCGCGAACAGACACACACAACAGCAGTCAGTTGGTAGAAATGACAGCTTTTGTAAATTTATTTTTTAAAAATTAAACAATATTTTTTTTTTTTTTAATTTCACATATATTTCAAGCATACCTATAACTACAATTCTGTGTAGTTTCACTGTTATAGGCATGTGGGATATATGTTAAATTATTTAATTAGAATATTGTTTTTTCAGCCATGTGTGACATGGCCTGCTGATCGCCCATTGACTCGCGCTGCTATTCTGCGTGGTGAAAATGCACCTCAATGTATAAAACTCCCCTACAAAAATGCAATATCCCCATGTGTTTCACTCATCAAATCAATTTGTTATTTACACTCAAGGTAGCCACAACTGTATTGGGGTCATCAAATCTTTTGGTACTCTGAAATTCATTCCCTGTGGAATTTGATGTTCTGTGAATGGTTTCTCGGAAAATCGTCACAAATCCTCAAATATGACATCTTTTAAATAGCCAAATATACTGTGATGTAGCTGAAAGTCTACAAATTCTTATCATATGATCGGTTTTTCTGAATAATTTGTGAAACACATGATGAAATAGCTGTGACGGTGATCCAAGTTATTTCCATCGCCATATTTTATTGGCATTGCAAAAATATTTGGAATTTAAGGTTAATACTTGGTGTAAATATGATCTATGAATATATGATTTAAAAAATGCCCCCATAATAAACAATTTGACTTTCCTAATTTGCATGAGTGCGCGAATATATAATTAGCTGAAATGACCTAATTTGCATATTTGATGAATATTCATGATTTTTTTTTTCTTCAAATGAAATCATACCTGTCTGATATACATAGGTTTCACTGATGTATCATGTTCGGTTTTGATTTGATTACATATGTGCATATTAATTAGGCGGACTTAGTTATTTTCACAACTTTTTCATGTCTGCAGATTCGCAAAAATGGCAAAAACGACTTATTTTGTTGGCTTCTGTTTTAAAAAAACGGTATTAGATATATGAATTTTCTTGTTTGTATTTTTTACCACAAAAATGTTATTTTAATGTCTGATAATTTAAATTATTATTCGTGTCCAAGAAAGTGATGAATTAAGTTGTCAACTTTGTCGAATTTGGCCATTTTTGCCAATTTGACCATTTCTGGCAGGTTTTTCGGTAAATTTGTGATATCAAAAAATGGTATAAAATCACAACGCATTGACCGATTTCAATCCTGTTTTTTGTTTGTTGAAGTTTTTATAAAGCTTGATCATTTGCAATCATCAAATAACATGTGTTTGTTGTACTTATTTTAGTGTGCTCTACCTAGATTACACTTTACGTCATTTTAATAAAAACCGCCACGGCTTTGCCGTGTCATATATGAACGAACCATTATTCCGATCCGAGACGGAAGCTCCTCGGTGGTTTTTGTTAGTCATGCGCACTGTATGGAAGTTTATATTGAGTGCAGTTAGATTAATATAGAGTTATATACAGATGTACATCAAGTACTTACAGTTTCGTCAAGGAGTCGAGCCCATCAAAGGAGTTGGGTTGAATTTGATCGAGCTTCAGTCCAACGAGGTGGCTGTCAAAAATATAACAAGGAGACGTTAAACGTATGTATTAAAATTCAGAAAAGGCACAACAATTACATTGTATTCTTTGATATTCATAAGTGCACAACCTCAAGTTGAGTGCTGGAATACTTTTAAGCCAATAACAATTCTGCAGGAGGTATGCAAGTCTCATTACAGAGGATCCCAAAATGTATTACTAAACGTATTCAAAAGCTCTACTACCCCGTATGTATGATTATGTCCAATATTTCTATACGTTTTACCCATATCAAATATGATATAGGGCTAAAATGGAATCATGTAATAGATTAAACTCTATAGATTACCCCAAAATGACCTTAATAAACTCGCTTTATTTTCATTGCTAAATAATTGGTGGGCATGTAGGAGATTATTTAGGAGACTCCACTTACAGTTGACGTAGGTGCGTCATGTTAAGAAATGCTCCGGTCTCTATTGTTTGCATCGGGTTAAAACTAAGGTTTCTGTAATGAGACAAATATTGTACATTCAGCGTTAAGAATTAATAATTTTTCAACATTTGATTTCGAATAAACTCTACTAAATAGTTAGAACTATGTCCACGCCGTGTCAGCCCATTGTAAACTCTTCTATAATATGTAGGATGATAACTTTAGTACTTCAAAAACTAATTCTGAATACCCGAGTTCAACTCGTGAATGCTCTTTTTTTCTTCAAATTTATTATTTCACTTTGTTCAGGTTTAAGCGATTTAAGTTATCTGCACAAAGACAAAACGACAGTATAACCAGTCGCATACTGTTTCGTTGGCTCCTTTAATGGAGGTTTTAATACGTTTTTTTTTAAATACCAGTAAGGTTGGGTTATCCAGGATTACAATTAAATTATAGGTCCATTTTATGGTCTAGGCCCTGAACAAAGTCATAGGGAGCTGAGCTAGGGGCATACGGAATGTACCTGAAAACCTGAAATGCGTGCATGTTGTGAGATACGTTCCGCCCCCCCCCCCCCCACTCCTCCCTCAAAATGGCATGAAGCCTTCGCCCTTGGACTATTTTGGTATCCACCACTATGCCTTCGAAATGGTGATAAATATCCTCGTGAATCTAAAAAGTAAAAATATTACACTTCCAGTACCTATGCAATGCTCCACACATCACTCCTAAATCAAGTATACCCAAATTTATCAGCATGGTGGCATTTCAAACCATTTACCCAAATGAAGCCTTCAAATGACAACTGAGGGAATTTTTACATATACATTTGTACTTACAGTTCTTCAACGGTATTAAGATGTGCGAACGTACTGGAGTTTATACGGGTGATATTGTTCGTGTGTAGGAGCCTTCATGGTAGTTTCCATCCATTGGGTTAGAAAAAGGAATGGATAAACTGTCGTCATCTTTTAATTCATAAAAAGTCTGTTTTTTTTACTGATAATGGCCATATTGGTTGTATTTGTATTTGTATTTATTAGGAATTCAATTTACATTGTGCATGAATACTTCGTTTGACTATCTCTGTTCGGGTGCCTATTTGGTTTGGTTGAATATTTTGTCTGGTTGAAACAAGGTAATATGCTCATTTTCAAATGAGATATAATGTAGGCCCGTTAGATCCGACCCCCACACCCTTAAAGCGGTACAGCACGGATGAACTTCCTGTCCCAGCAAAATGTGTATTGCACAGCGCCATCTCATAGTCAACTTGCCAGCAGTTCGTAACCCAATACCTAATTTCCACTTCGCAGACCGAGGACTCTATTTTTTTAGACCCTATATTTATTTATGATGACAAAGTTATCAACTGTGATATGCAATAAGCTCATCTGCCACGGGACCAGAAGAGAACCAATTCTTCTTATTCTGCAGCAAGGGAACCCACCTTTAAACGATACAAATGTGGATGCTCCTATGCTAACATTGTTCCTCGAAATTCAGTTAACAGGTAAAAACAAGTAATTTGATTTATAATAATTTTTTTTTTTTTTTTAAATCAGAATTTTTGTATTTTCTACTATTGGCTACTATACGTTGGCCAAATACATGTTATGAAGTCCAGTCCGTATCTGGCCATCCATCCCCCGGATAACCACCCCCCAGTCGACTACCCCCTAGGACATCTTTCCCCTTGGGCAACCACCCTCTAGAGCAACTACTCCCGGAAAACTCCCCCGGACAACTACCCCCTAGACAACTACCCCCTAGGATAGTTGTCCGGGTTGTAGTTGTTCTAGAGGATGGTTGTCGTAGGGGGTAGTTGTCTGGGGGTATTTGTCCTAGGGGGTAGTTGTCCTGGGGGTTAGTTGCCCTAGGGGGTAGTTGTCTGCGTGTAGTTGTCCGGTGGGTATTTGTCCTGGGGATAGTCGTCCTAGAGGGTGGTTGCCCTAGGGGGTAGTTGTCCTAGGGGGTAGTTTTCCTAGAGGGTAGTTGACTGGGGGTGATTACATGGACGGATCTAGGGGGGACACAGGGAGCACGTGCCCCCCGGCCAAAAAAGTGTTGAAATCAGCCCCAAATTCGCCAAAAATGTACTGACAAACAGGGACGTATCCACCCCCAAGCCAAAAAAAAAAAAAAATGTGCTTCCCCCCCCCCCCCCCCCCCCCCATCGCTTATTCAACGGCTGGCTGAGTCGTTGCGATTTTTTGGGACCAAAATATATATATATATATATATATGTCCTCTTACCCCCCCCCCCCACGTGCCACCCCTTGTACCCCCCCCCCCCCCCCCCGGGAAGAAATTCCTGGATCCGCCCCTGGGTTATCCGGGGGTGGATGTCCAGGGGGAAGGTGTCCTAGAACTATGAAGTAAACATGAGCAACTCTACGAAAATCTTCGCAAGGCATAATATTGTCATTCGAAACTTAGATAATGGACACCCATAAGGGCCGAAAAATTGTATATTTTCTATCAGATTAGACTTACACTGTCTTCAACATTGGAACTCCTCGAAAAGCGTGTAGATTGATGTGTGAGATCAGATTACTGTGAAGATTTCTAAAAGAAATGTAGCAAAGCATTTATATCACCGTTTCTTTCCTACCTTGTCTCGTAGCAACAGCTGTCGAAACCGGCACCCGAATTAGTGAGCCACTAATTGTTGGGACAAAATATCTCACAAGGTGAATTATAGGTAGTCGATCAAATATTACACAGTACCCATAGAAAGAATATGTAGACTATATACAAAGTAATGTCGCTCCTTGCGGATGAAGTAAAGGAGAAGAAACTCATTAATAACTGAAGGCCATAGAACAGAGTAGAAAATCGAGCGAAGAAGTAGGACATGAATTATGATGAAGATGAATTAGTTTTGGTGTAGACTTTAGACTCTCTATGGAAGACGTGTGCCTTATAAGAACAGCTCATGAGATTTAAGTGATCAAAATAGATGTGGCAAAAGCAAGTGTAATATGCATGTATATGCTATACCAGTACATTGGGTGGTTGCACATACCAACACATAGGGTGTGGAAAGTGCTTGCCAGAATAACTGCACAACCCAATAAAATAGGGTTTAGAATGTGGTTGCCTGAGAAAGTATGTGTGGCACTCTTATAATGTTACAGGTGTCACTATAGAAACGGGTGACAATTGAAAAAAGGCCAGACTTCAAGGTACAAAATAAAATCAAGACTATGATATTTACAAATGTCAAGTTTTTCTAAGGGCAACTCACTACAAATTTATAGGAACATTCATTTTAATTTTATCATTCACTTTTATTTTGAAGTCTTGGATGTATTGTTTTCTTTTAAACTGTTGCATGTTAGTCTTTACATTCTGATCTAAAACCGATCCTTAAAAATAAAATAAAATAAAAAAAACCCCTCTCTTTCTCTCTCTCTCTCTCTCCTGCACCCTCCCTCCAGACTGCCACACCCTCTTTTCCCCTCTCTCTTTCCATGTGTTATCTTTTCGAATTTACATGGTGTCCTTACACCTGAAATAAGCTCGGTAGTGCTTCAAAAGTATTCGAGTCCAGTTCCGATATTAGATTCCCTTGCAGATCTCTGCAACAGGAACCGTACATGTCAAATGTGAAGACAGAAACAAAAGGCAAAAATACATATAAATAGATAAATAGTAATCCTGATTATAATAATAAAAATAATGATAAGTAATAATACAGATAATAATACAGGGATAATTCATAATAAAGATAGTGCTGGAATACTGTAAGAGCCGAAAATCAAAATACGAGTATGACAGTAGTACGATTTCATGATTCAATTTTTAAGAATATCTGTACTAACAACCGGCAGGATTCAACGAAATTCCAGATTCAACAAGACTTCAAGCTCACGAAATGTGGGTCTCATGTGTGCAATAGCAGTGATGCTATTGGACATTTTCAGTATCAAGGCACTATTGCCGTTTATACTGTTTACCCTTTGTGTGAAAAATATGAATTTTCATTTTTTGAATTAGATTAGATAGATGTACGAAAAAGAAATACACGAATCTGCAAATTGTTTAGGTTCGAGGTGTATTTCAATTTATTTCTTTCATCCATATTCGTTCTTTATCTCATTTCGGCCACTGTATGTATGATAAAATGATATTTGGACGAAACTTACATTGTACGTAAAAGAGCGCTTCCGTAAAAGACACCGGCCTCTATTCCAGTTAAATTGCATGTCGATGCCATTCTGTAAGTTCAGGAAATATAGTAAGTATACATACTGATATCAGAAATTACAAATGAACAGCAAGACATTGATTGAATAGACTCCTCGAAAGTTATTATAATTGGTGTATGAAATGTATTAGCCAAATGATCGTAGAAAGACCCCAACAAGAACAAAATATGAATTTTTTAAAAAAGAATTAAATAGTTTCACTAACATAAAAATCGCCTAAACATTTTGTTGTGATTTACAATCGTATGGAACTCTTTAAACACAATAGGAAAACGGAATAAGAAAAAAACGATGTGGATAATAAAACAAAGACAAAAAAAAAACGGCGCACCATAACAAAGGTACATTCAAGTATTATGAATATGTCGATTCATTCAAATCTCGGTTGAAATAAAAAAAAAAAAAA